AATTAAATTAGAGTTTAATACATGTAAAATGTTAGCTAATATTATGATAATTCATATAAATAATATAATTAAAGCTAATGATAGCTATACAAAATGGTAAACAATTCTTTACTAAAGTTTTATTATAATTAAAATAATAAATTTTTTTTTATTTTGCATAAAATATTTTATAAAATTTGGTTAAAAGAAAAGCATCACATAATTAACAGAAAATATTATTTTAAAAATTTTTATTTCATCATTATGTAATAAATTTATAACATTAAATTGATTCATTATAATAAGTCTAAAAAATAAAGTTTTATACATTACACTGCCTTAATTATCAAAAAATTGCAATTTTAAAATTTGTATTCAAATGATATAATACTTTTAACTACTACTGTAAATACATGAATTATAATTTTAAAAAATTAAAAAAGCTAATTAAATTTAGATAAATTTAATTATTAAAATTTTATTTAAAAGAATTATTATTTAACATTAATTTTATTATAAATAGCTTAATTAAAAAAATAAATTATTTTAGACAAAAAAATTTAATATAAATAATATAAAATTAATATAGTTCTTTACAATAAAAAAGAGAAAAATGGTTAAAAAATAAAATAAAAATGAATTAATGTTAAATCTGAACATATTTAATCTAAAAAATTATATTTAAAATATAAAAATAAATTGATTATTTTTACAATTTCTCTTCTTTTATTATAAAGGTTTCTTAGATATTAAAATTTTATAAAATATTTTTATAATTTATAATTAAAATAAATATAAAAATATATTTATAGTATAATTAATTTATTCTAAATGCATCCTTTCTAAATATACATATATATTTTTTCTAAATACATATTTTTATTTAGTTCTAAATATATAGAATTATATAAAAATTATTTTTAAATATATATCATTTTTTTTAAAAAATTTTTATTATAGTTTTAAAAGAAAATATTTAAAGAGAATTAATTATATCTGTAATCAATAAAACTTTTAAAATTTAAAAATTTAATGATACATAGAAAAATTATTAAAAAATCAGATTCTAAAAAGTATTTAATTAAAATTAAGATCTTATACATTTTAATCTTAATAATATTAAGATTAAATATAATAAACATCAAAATTTGTTAGAATTTAATTTTCTTAATAATCTTTACATATTATTTCTAAAATTAATTATTAAATTATTAGTTAATAAATTATTAATTATAAATTTATACATAAATATTAGTTTTTTAAATTATAATCAATTATAAATTTTTATATTTTATAAAATTTTAAATAAATCATAATTAATTATAAATCATAATTTTTAAATATAATATTTTCTTAAAATAAATAAAGATAATAATATAAATAAAAAAATAAATAAGTTTTATTTTTAATTATTATTTTATAAAATAATTTAACAATATTTATTATATATAAAATATGTAAAAATTATATAAAATATAAAGATATAATAAATATTTTATTATAATAAATATGTTTTAGATTTTTAAGTAAAAATAAAATATATATGTAATTTAATAAATAATTACTTATTTTTTTATTTTTTAATTAATTTTAAATTTTAAATTATATATATTAAAATTTACTGATAAAAAATATATAAATTTTTGTTTTAAGTGTTTAAAAATTAATTTAAATAAGATAATAAGATTTAGAAGTTTTATAATAAAACTTAAAAAATTTTTTTTTAAATTAATTAAAACTTATTTTACTAAAATAAAAATTTTATATTTAACTTATAAATTTTTTGATAATTTCCTTTTTTATTACTGTAAAGTATTTTTATTTATAATTAAATTAGATAAAATTTTTAATTAATTAGTTTTTAATTTAATTTATTAAAATAAATAACTAAATTTATTAAATTTATATTATTCTTTAGATTATTTAACAGACAAATTAAACTTAAAAAAAGTATTAATTTCTTAATAAAATATTTAATATTAATTTTAATAATATAATAATTATATGAAAATATAAATGCTTTATAATAAAAAGAGAGAAAATTACTAAAAAAAAATTTTTTAAATCTGAATTTATTTTACTAAAAAATATTATTTAGCTTATAAAATAAAATTTTTTTTAGTAGTTTACTTTTTTTATTGCAAAGCAATTATATAGTTTAATATATATATATATTTATTAATTTTATTAGAAAAAATTTAAATAATATAATTTAAAATTAAGTTTTAAAAAATTTATTGTAAAAATATTTTAAAAATTTATATATATTTTTTTTAATATTTTATATGATTAATATAATTATGGAACAAAATCCTAAATCTATTTTAATCAAAAGTCAAAACTTTTCAGAAGTTATTTTAATAGTTTTAATAGGTTTTAATAAGTTTTAACAGTTTCAATAGGTTTTGATAAGTCTTAAAATTTTGATAAACTTTGATAGATCTCAAAAATTTTGATAGTTTTAATAATAATTTTGCAAAATTTGACAAGTTTTAACAGGTTTATTATATTATAATATAAAATATAAAAATGAAGTTTTTAAATTTATAAGCATAAGAACTTATTAAAAGATTAGAAGAATTACCTTATAATGAAAATCATAGAAATTAGATTTTAACTGAATTTATTTTAACTGAATTTATTTTTAATATTCAAATTTATTTTGAATATTGAATTCAGTTTTAATTTTTATTTCAAATTAACAAATTATTTTTTTATTATCAATATTATTATACATAAAAAAATGTAGATTGCTTAATAAATTATATATATCTGATATAGTTGCATAATAATATGATCTTAGTATTAAATATTTACATATTAATATTATTAAAATATCAATATTAATTATTTTTAATTTATTTAAAATTATTTTTATAAAAGAAAACAATTTGTTTCTTTTTTATTATCAATTAATTTATACCTTAATTTAAAAGCAAATTTTGATTAATTTAATTATAGTTTTTATTTTCAAAAAAAAAGAGATTAATTTAATTTCTGCTTTTAATTTTGAAATAGCAAGCTAGAATTATCAAAATTACTAGAATTTTAAATAAATCCAGATTTAATTTAAATTAGATAAATTTAAATTTATCAAATCTGATTTTAACCTTAAAAAGTTTAATGAATGAAAGTAGAAAATAGGGATTTTATATGATTTTAAATAAAGAAAATACAAATTAGAAGATAAATAATGTAATTGGACTTGAAAAACAATTTCAATATATAAATTTTTGAATTTTATTTCTTATATTTTATAAATATATAAATATATGATATTATAAAATAAATAACCTTTGATATATATAATTTATTTTTTTTTATTTAACATGCAGTAGTTTTACATAATCTTTATTAAAAATAAAGTAAAATTTTACAAAATTACAAATTACAATACAGAGAGTATAAAAATTTCTAATCAGCTAAGAAAACTAAATCACAATCAATTTTATACTGTTCTAGAATAACCTATCTAAATTAAAATTAGAATAAGTTTAACCATTTAGTATAGGAGGTGTGGTTGTTACTGATCTAAAAATTTGATCAGTTCATATTATATCTAAAAGAAAAGATAAAATAAGGTGAAATAATGAAGAAAGGTAGGTTTGATGAGGGAAAGCTAGTGTTGATGAAGTGTGATTTTTGGTCATGTAGTGAAATATTATTGATGTTTTCAATTTGTTTGATAACATCGTATCAGTTAAGCCAAAGGCTTTTAATTTTAGAGTAAACATGATGATAAGTAGAGGAAAAGAGTCCATTTGTTAGTTGAAGGTTGTTGATAAGTTGGTGAGTTTTGTTAAATAAGAAGGAGGGTACAATCCCTTTGATCAAGTTAACAAAGTTAAAGGAGCTGATTTGATTATTTAAAAACCAAATATCTATATTAAAAAGATTAGAAAAATCATGAGTATTAAAGTGAAGAATCGTTTGGTAAAAGATATGATATCACCAATTTGGTGTTCAATACTTTATAGGTTCAAATGTGATCAAAAGATTCATAAGTAGACGAACATCTCAGACAATTTTATTGATATATATAATTTACTTATTTCATAAAACAAATAATAAATTTTTAAAATTCAAGATTTTAATAGGTTTTGCCATCTTTTGAAACTTTTAAAATTTGCTTTTAAATAAAAATATTTGGCAAAACATTTTGACAGGTTTCAATTTTGAAGTCTATCAAAACCTCTGGGTTTTGCCTGGATAATATTGCTAAAGTAAATTTTAATAAGTTATCAAAAGTTAATAATAATATAAAAAATTTTTAAAAATTAGCTTATAAGTAACTTTAGATTAATTAAAAAATAAAATTACTATTATATTATATATATTTATAAAAATTATTTTAAAAAAAAAATTTAATTTTTCATAATAGTAAATCAAAAGGAAATTTATAGTAAATAAGCAGGCAAATTTGCCTGCAAACTTCTACAATCAAAGAGATAGTTAATATAAAAATTTAAAAATTTTAAGATTTGTAAATCTAAGTAAACTATGTTGAATTCCAATCTAATTTATATATAAAATATATTTAATATATTTATATATCTAATTTTTTTAGAAAGTTAAAATATAAAAGAACCATTTAAATCTAAATAACTCTAATAACCTTTAAAGACTAATAATTTATTAATCTCGTTTTGATTAATTTTGATCATAATGCGATATGCTTTCTATTTTATATCAAGGTGATCATATAAATCGTTAATTATTTATGACATTTCAAAATATTTATATTTGATAATATGTATTATATAATAAAATATAATTAATAATACCATTTCAAGTACGCAAATTTTGCATATTTCGCATATTTCGCATTATATAAGCGGAAAAAATAAAACTTACAAAAGGAAATTTGTTTTTCCGAATCAGTTACATTACGCAATCTAAGGTGGATTACGCATTGCATGAGACGATCCGAACAATATAAAAAGGTCGGTTCTCATTTTTTTTGAATAAATTATTTTCATTCCTTTTTTTTTTTTTATTTCTTATTACAAATTACTTCAAAAATGACATCCATTAAATTATATGTTTATGATTTATCTCTTGGGATGGCGAGAAATCTTTCGATGGGTTTAACAGGAAACCAAATAGGTACGAACTTGATTCATTTAGTTTGAAAGATAATTAAAATATTATAAATTCAATTTCGTATTTATTTCGGATTAGATGGAATATGGCATACTTCAGTAGTTGTTTATGACTTGGAATGGTATTTCGGTCAAGGTATATTTTTTGATCCTCCGGTAAACTTGAATTTTTTTTTTCTTCTGTTTTTAGGTTATTTTTTTTTTTTTTAACACTTCTCTGACACTTGTTTTAAAATATTTAAAAAGGGTACAACAATTTATGGAAGTCCAGTAAAAATTATTGATATGGGGAAAACAGAAGTTCCTAAAGAAATCTTTTTAGAACACATAGAAGGGTTACGGGAAATTTATACTGCTGATAAATATCACTTGTTAGATAATAATTGTAATACCTTTTCTAACGGACTTTGTGAATTTTTAAACGGTAGTAAAATTCCTGATAATATCATTAGTAAGTATTAATCAAAGTAATTCTTAACCAAAGGGAAGGAATACTATATGACTTTATTATTTTTATCAATAGATTTGCCTGCAGAATTTTTGTCAACTCCAATGGGAAGACAAATTCGACCTTTTATTGAATCATTCTTCGGACCAAGTAATCACCCTTAATTGATAAAGCATTCTCTTGATCATATTACACTTATCAAATAAGGCAGCTGTGAGATTTTTGAACTATTTAAATTAATTATTTCGAAAAATATATAATTAGAGTTTTTTTTTTTTTTTTTTTTGACTTATAAAATAATAAAGATCAACTAGAAAACCACTAGAAAATTCTATAATTCGTATACAAAATTTAAAATGGAAATTTTAATTCAAATTTCAGACGCGAGAAAAAAAAGTCATGACGTAATCCTGCGCCAAAACTTGATCAACATCAGAAACAATTTATTGGTCATCTTCAGAATAAAACATTCCTTAAAAAAGAAATTTTCCTTTTTGAATCGCATTCAAGAAGGACCTTGAGAAAAAAAAACCCCCAAAGAAAAAAAAAAATAACTTTTTGAAAATACATTATGGTGTTAGGAAAAATAGTTCATTTTGCAGCTGATGCGGTACTCGTCTCTGCAGTATTAGCAGGCATTAAACGTTCAACCGGCTTGTCGTGAGTATAAAACTGGAACTCTTTAATTTATATTGTTTTAAAACAATTAATATATATATGTACATACATTCTTTTGGAAAAATTTCTAGGGTCGCAACAAATAATATTGAAAATCAAGAAATAAGAAAAGCAGTCGATAAATTTTTAAATGTTGGTGAATGGGTTTTTGACCAAAGTATTTTAATTATGAATACCTCTGCATATTTTGAACGAAAGCGATGATACAATTCACTGAAAGTTTTTTATTTTCCTTTCACTTGAAAATTTTGTAATGTAATATATAATAAATGTTGTAGTTTCCAGAGAAATTTTACCGTCAAAAAAAAAAAAAAAAATTGTAAAACATAATATTCAAATTAATTTTTTTGTATCTAAATAAAAACTAGGTACAAGTATATAATCTAATTTATTTCTCATTTGGAGGAGGTAAATCGCTTTTATAAGTATTTTCTTCTAATAATTTTTCCACTTCAATTTTAACTTCTTCGACGGCTTTTGCATCAATAAATAAATGTGTATCATCCAAATCCTCAATTATAAATTGTTTTCTTTCATTTAATTTGTTTATTACTTGTTTAACGGTTGGATCACTACAAAAAAAAAAAAGAATTTTTTTTAAAAAAAAAAAATAAAAGATAAATTTAAGAATTCAGAGAACTTTACCACTTTAGAATGACACCTAATTAAAAAATAGATCACGTTATTACAATATTATTATTTTAAACATTTACTTAGTTTGTAATTAAGGGATCACCTTTTAATGCTTTAACCATCTTATTTATTTTTTTTCAAATACTTATTTTCGTTTAGTTTGATAATCTAATAAAAGTTAATCGCTTTTATTTAATTAACATGAACGAGAACAAAAGCCCTTATTTATATTTATTTATATATGCAATCAGCAAGCTTGTGTAACATTCATTGTTTTATTTTAACGTTGGCTTAATCCTAGAAATATCATCTTGAGTGGTTTCAATTTCTTTAACAATATCCGAATACATTTGTATAATTTGTTCAAATTCATCCCCAATATTTTGATATTCCATTAATTGATTATTCAAATTTTTCATCAAAATATTCTTTTCGTTTTCTTCTTTAACCAGTTCCTTTCTAATTACACTCAAAGATTCAATGGTTTCTTTGTCATAAACGTTCATTATTGCTTGTAATCGAAGAACTTTTAATTTTAATACTATAGACCTAACTATACCAGCAAAATAATCATTAAATGCCTTATTTTTTTCTTTTTCGTGATGATATTTAAATTCCTCTATTAGTTCCCATAAATTCTTTAATATTTCTTTCATGACCTAAAGAAAAAGTAAAAATTAACCATTTCCCCCCTTTTTTTTTAATAAAGAAAATCGACTTTCGGAAAGAATGTGTAATCTTACTTTTAGATAAGTTGTAATTCGTTCTCCTAATCGAATTTGATTTTCTATGAGACTAATTTTAGACATTCGTAATTCTTCATGTTTACGTGTCAATACTTGATCCAGTTGAAAAGCCTTAGTTGCCAATAGCTTTGAGTTCGTATCTAAATAAAATCAAAAAATATTTTTTTTTATAATCCTTAATAATAAATGAAATAAATGGAAATCATGAATTTTTTTTTTTTTTACCTTCTCCTAAACAATAGTACAATTTTGCAATATCCTCACATTGATCGGTTAATTTGCTTTCAATAGAGTTTAAAATGATTTTTTTGAATTGATTCAAATAATCTAATTCCTTTTCAACGCGTTTAAATAGTTCTTTTTCTGTTAACCCTAATAATCCTATCGTTATTGCATCATCATCATCTGCCTCTGTTCCTTTAAAATCAACATTATTTAATGACAAATCTATCGGACGAAAATTCAAATATTGTTTCGACTCGGCAAAGCATAATACTTTATCCAAGGTTTCCGATATCTTTATTACATTATTTTTAAAAAAGAAAAAAAAATAATTCACATAAGCGCGTGAAAAAATATGCAAATTAGGAATGAACAAGTATAACCAACCTTTTCATGCTCTTTACACTTTGTATTTTTCAAATACGCTTGTAATAATGACGGTTGTAATGCATTATATAAAGTTAAATTTTCCAAATATTCCGTTCTTTCTTTAATAAACTCTTCCTACGAAAGGAGAATTCCGCGTCAAGTTCTTTCCTTTTTAATACTTTACTCCTAATTACCATACCTGATCAATTTCTTTTGCTAACGCCTTTGTAGTTCCATCAGGTGCTAAATATAGGGTTTTTAGTTGTTCATATAATTCCGCAAGGTTCGGGTTAGTCGTTAATACGGCTTGTTTTATTATATCAGACATTCTTTATTGTTCAGGTATTGAAATATCGCGTAAAATATTTGTCGGACTCAAACTTATGACAAATTGCTTGATTCGGTTATTATGTCGCCCAATCACCTTTTCGGGCCTAGTGAAAATTAAAAAAGATCTATTTATCGTATTTTCTTTTTACAGTAATATCAACAATTTACTGCGACGCATTTTCTGAATTTCACAAATTTTTATTAATAAGGATTGCCAATGATCTTTTTTTATTTACTTCTAATATTTTGTTTTCAAATTATTTATAATACAATCACTATATAATTATTATAAATGAGTGTTACTGTCATACTTCATCAACAAAGGTAGCATATTCATAAACCGACAATTGATCTTCTACATGTAAAGCTTGATCTTGTTGATGATGTTGATGTTGATTATGTTCTTCGTCTTCCCCAACAAAAGCAGCGGCCGCAGATGACGATGATTCCCCTTCTAAATTGGTATCTGACATAACTGACGTTGATGTCATTGATATCTCATTATCATTTTCCAATTTTTCTATTGTGGTCTTAACGATATGCGTCATTTTTGGATCCAAATTGTACGTTCTTGTAAAATTTTGTAAGGCCCTCGTTTTATCTCCCATTGCTTTATAAATTTTTCCAACGAGAAAATATACTTTGGGTTCTTTTGGTACAATCTTTTTAAGTTTTTCAAGTTCAATAAGTGCATCCTTTAAGGAAAAAAAAGAAAAAAGAGGAATAACAATAATTAAAAAAAGTTCTCGTTATCAAGAGATTAATCGCAAGATTAAAGATCTTATCTACCTCATAATAATGATCTCTATATAATGACTTCGCTTTTTTGAATATCGCCAGAGGTGTCTGAGGTGTAACCTGACAAGCCTGATCATAAAGTCTGCGCGCTTCCTCATTCTTACCCATTTTCTCGTATACCTATCAAATGATAATTTTTAATGCATATTATCTATTTACCATCACAATCGATAACTTAATAATACCATCCTTGCTTACTTTTCCTAAACAACACATTAAGACAGCATGGTTTGGATTAATTTCCATTGCCATCTTATAATGATATTCCGCTTTAGTTTTTTTGTCACATGTCATATAATAATTTGCAAGTCCATACCTATTAATTAATATCATATTAATCAACTTTTCATGAAATAAAAACTTCGAACATTCACTTTAACACACTTACAAAGCGTTATAATGACGCCTATTTGTATTTAAAGCATTCCTAAAATGTTCTTGAGCTTTTTCAAAATTTCCATTGGCCATACTCTCATGACCAGATAAAGTATGTGCATAAGTGAATTTTGGATCTATATGTATCGCTCTTTGGAAGCACTTTAAAGCCAAGTCATGTTCTTGTTGTCGACTGAAACAATTCCCAACTGCGCACCATGCTTGTGGTGAAAGTCGTTCGAATTCAACTAATTCATGTGCAAGTGCGCTTAATACCGTGTCTTTACGTAAATGCCATAACGTTGTAGAAAATATTTCCATGTCTTCTAGACGATATGGTTCCAATTGACGTGCTTTTTGAAAAAATCGCTCGGCCTATCAAAAGTAAGTAATCCAAACATCAGTTTTCGAATATTAATAAAATGTCAAAAACAAATTCTTTTACCATAGAGTAATTGACCATTTCGAAGTATGCTTTCCCTATATGACTTTGAACCCAACCGGTGAAATACTGTGGTCTAGGAAGTTCCGAGAAGGCTTCTATAGCTTTCAAACAATCGTATTGATTTAGGTACGCGTAACCTTTGGCTATCTTTTGTAGTAATTCCAGAACTTCATTACAATTGGATTTCAAATCAATGTCTTCTATTTTATCATAAATATTATCAGGATCTAGTGTAGTTTTTTGTAAAGCTTCAGTCTAAATGTAAACAATGATCATTTTTTTTTTTTTTTTAAATTAATTAAAAAGAATGAATTAAATTATTGAAACAAGTAATGAAAAACTTTACGTTTAATAATACCACTTCATTTTCTACATTTACAAATGTTCTTACATCTTTCCCTAGTCGATATAGTTTATTTTCATCATCAAGACCTATAAAACTTACATCATTATTGCCAATACGAGATCGTTTCTTTTCCCTATTATCTGATGCAGGTGTCGAGGTTAACGGTTGCGTAGCATGCTAGTATTAAACATATGTCGATTGTAATTACTTGATTGATTATGAGAAAATTTATATCAGATCTCACAGTATATACTAATTATTAGAAGGAAAACAAATGCCAACCCTTGTTGTAGAAGGCGGCCGTGAGATTCGTCGAATAGGATCAGGTGTGCTCTTATCACCATTATGCGCCTAACATTTAGCCCATTGTTATTAATATTTATTAAAAATATGCGAACGTTAATTTCTATGAAGAATTCGTATAAATATTCATGCATACCGGTTTGGATATAAACATCTGTGAATTGTATAGTTTGTCTGAACATGAAGTTCTACAACTCATGAACTTTTCACTTTTTGGTTGGAATATTTCGTCAATTTCAATCTGAGTTGATTTACCTGTGAATCGAGAATTAGAATTAGTTAATGAATGTATTAAAGTTAACTCTCAACTTTTATATTTAAACTAACAAAGAGAATATACCCATTTGACATAAATTTTCAAACGCTTCCCACATAAATGGGTTTATCTTTATGCATTGAACGTAATATTGAGCAGCCTCATCAATACGACGCGCATTTTTACATAAAGATCCCAATAAACATAAGACGGATGCTAAATCTGGTGTTTGATTAAATTTTGAGTCAACAAATGGATCTAATTTGATTATAATTGTCAATGGATATATAAGTAAACCTTGGGTTATATTTTAAAGTAAGAAGTAAATAAACAAGATTAAGAATTTTTTTACCCTGTGAGTTTCGTGACTCTAAACTACTTACAATAGTAAGTAATTTTTCTTTGCCTTCTTCCGCCTTATCCAAATCCAAACAACACCTTGCAAGCAGATATTTGCATTTAATTGAATCGGCATTGTTCAAAAGAGTATATGCAGCTTTTCGTTGACCACTTCGATAATGACATGTAGCCAGCAAAAAACGCGAATTTTCATTTGCAATATCCTGTGCGAACAGTCTTTCCGCGAGAAAAGTTGCATTTCTATACAAATGATTTTCCAAAGAATTGCAGATCATGCCTTCCAGCTGCATAAATGAAAGGTGATTTATGCTGTTTGCCGTCATAATGTTATAATTACGTAAAAAGTGTAAAGGGCGATCACAAAGTTTTTTATTGAATTATAATTATACAGCAATCCAGGTAATGATGTATTGACGGACTGACCAATTATTCTCGCGATGTAGGGTTTTATTGGCTAATCCTGTGTAGATCCTAAAACAGTAACTGGTAATCGGAATCAGGGACGATGATTTTTTGTGGTGATATAAAGTAAATTTTGTGTGTGATAAAAATAAATTCTGTGAAATTTTGTGATTTGGCCGGATTTAAGCAAGGTTGGCCAACATTACGACTCGTAAATTCTGCCCAAATTTAGTGTTTACCGGAATTACAATGATTGCAAATCCTAAATTAGGCCAAAAACTTGAACCAAATTTTGTGATTTTCTGTGAAATTCTGTGATCACAATAAATCATTGTCCCTGATCGGAATCTCGTGATCTTCGGCATCTAAATTAGTTAGTTTACTGGATTGTAAAAAATAATAACTAATATAATTTATTTATTAACAAATATGTACAAAACCAATGCTTGCGATAAAATTACACAGAGAAGATACGATCAATAAAATATTTTACATATTTTCTTATTTTCTAAATTATATATGTATAACATTCCCCATAAAAAAAAAGAAAAAGAAAAGAAAAAAAAAAAAAAAAAAAAATTGATAATTTCACACATTATCGCAAACGATGGATAAGAAAGAAAATACCTCTATACATAAATAAAGATGAATACCCTCTTTGAAAATAACAAAAAGTGCGTAAATAAAAATAAATGATTCTCATATATTAACTGTTCTTTACAGGAGCACAAATTTTTTTATGTCCGTTCTTCCAATCCTTTTTTTGACAATCCTTGGAACAGTAATTTACAACTGAACATCCGGCACAAATCAACAATTTATGTTTCTTTTCTGATTCCAATTCTTCACTTACATATTTACGTGTTTGACTACCACAAGTCTTGCATCTCTTCTGTTGTTCGCCATTAGGAGGCAATGCAAGTAATTTCTGAAAAATTGGGGCCAATCTCTCAGCTTCCTTCTTTGAATCCTTTTCAACTTTAATTTCTTTGCTTCCTTTTTGTTCAAACAATGCTATCGCAGTAAGCTTAACTTCAGTAATGTCAGGAATTCGTCCGTAAAGATATTTATATCTTTCTTCCGCTTCCTTAGCCTTTTTGTAGTAATTGAGAGCTTGTTGATTACGCAAATTTTGCTTAACCTGATTTCGATTTCCCGTTGCTGGGCTAGTTGCACTTTGGCCAGCCAGCACGGATAGAGCATAAAGAGCGTGTGAATAAGAAGTTGAATCTTTATTAGCCTTCCAAATGTAAGTTTTAAAATTACGTTCAGCATCCGTACGATCACCGTGTGACATTTGTATAGAACCTTGAATGCTATAAGCATCAACAAAATTGGGGTTAAGTGATATTAAACGTTCAAGATCTTTGATACAATTTTTGAAATCGTCGGTGGCTAGGTAACACGAAGCACGAAGATGGAGAAGACGAGGATGAAGTTTCGGTTCTAGTTGGATGAGAGCTATTGACAGGGTCTGAATGCAGAACGGGTATTGTTTACCATTGAAAAGGAGCCAAATGACCAGTATAAGCGACCTTTAGAAAATAATAATATTTTGAATAATCATATCAAGAAGGAAACCTAAAAATCTTTTTTTTTAAAAAAAAAAAAATTTAACACCATACTACTGTTGCTATAACTTACTCTCGCGTGAATTCTGGCTCAATATTATCATGACCATCCTGAGATGGATTAAGATTTTCCGACTTTTGTGCCTCTACCATCTTATCTTGTTTTACATCAATATCATCCAACTCAACTAATTTCTCTTTATTTTCACTTTCGGCTTCGCGTTTTTTTTCAATTTCGGCTTCATCTTTTTTTTCACTTTCGACTTCCTCTTTACCTTTCTCTGTTTCTTCTTCTATTCTTTCGCCTTCTGTTTCTTCTTCCCCATCCAATTTTAAAAGTTTTTCATATTGTTGAGCAAGTGTCATAATTCTTGGTGACATTTCCGTAGCTTTATCGTCGATCAAAAAAGCCTCAACCAGAAATTTGGTCGACTCCAAAATTTCGTTTTCATGAGCTCTTAAAGTTTCTTTATCAGATTTATCGGGAATTTTAGATGCAATCTCAAGCCCTTTTTTAAACAATTCTTTGGCTTTGAAATACTTAATTTATAATAGATCAAATAATTTATTATAGTAAAATTTTGAACTACTCGTAAAATAAAAAAAAAATAAAAAATAAAATGAAATTTGCTTTTAATGACTACCTCTTCAACTTCAGGATCATTGGTCTCTCTTCTCTTGTTGCGACGTTCCAATAAATCATATTCTTGAAACCTTACAGGTTTCTCCATAAATGTATCTTCATGGTGATTTTGAGCATGGTCGTGATCGTGTTCATGAGAGTGCCCATGGGGGTGCGAGTGGTGGTCGTGAGAATGTTCGTGGTCGTGAGCGTGGTCGTGGTCGTGAGCGTGGTCATGAACGTGACCAGGATTTGAGGAATGGGTTTCCTGGGGGTGGACTTGTAGTTCTGTCATATCTAAAATTAATTTAATTTTGTAAAGAAAGTTACTCGAGAACTATTATTAGATTTGTCAAAAAAAAAAAAAGAAAAGGACAATGGTGGTTTTTTTGAATGATGAGGGATTTTATGATAGGTGCAGTTGAATGAACATCTTTTGTACGACCATGAAACATGCAAAATAAAGTAAATAAGGTAAATAAGTAAATAAACAATTTTACACCCATATTCTGACGACTATGAAACTAATTAAGAGACGAATCGAAAAAGATCGCTCGGTATTAATTTAAATAATTTTTTTAAAATGCTTTTTTTTAACTATTAAATCGAATCGTTGCCCTGACAAAATTTATTAGGGCTTTTTGGTCCTTTGTCCTGAGGAGCTCGAAGATATGTGGCATGTTTATAACCTGATTTCAATAGGCGATCAACTTAAAGCTACAACAATTCGGTATATAGATTATTTCCTTTATTATTTTTTAAAAAAATTATTATTCCATAAAGTGACCGAACATGCTTTATTAAAATATTTAGCCGAGTTCAGCGTCAAAGTACTACCGGATCAGTAGTATCAGAACGCGTCAGATGTGTGTTGACAATAACTGTAGATAATATCGAGTTCGATTCGCAGGGTGGTCTACTGAGAATTAGAGGAAGAGTCATTACCGAGAATCGATATGTGAAGGTATGTGTAAAGTGTTGATAGTTTCAAGCACGTATATCTATAAATCAAATAAATTTGAATGTGTTACGTTTTAGATGGGTACATATCATACCATCGATCTTGAAATGAACAGACATTTCACACTTTTAAAACCCGAATGGGACATAATAGCGCTTGAACGTGTGAATGAAGCATGTGATGTTACGAAACAAGCAGATGTTGCCGCGGTGGTTTTACAGGAAGGTTGGTGCCTTTCATATTCAATCTTGCCTTTATTTTTTTAATTCCCAAGCTCACAATGGATTTAGGGTTAGCAAACGTTTGTTTGGTCACACAAAATATGACGATTGTCAGACAACGGATCGAACAACCTGTTCCACGGAAGAGAAAGGGCTCTGTGACAAATTACGAAAAAGTATTCCACATAATTCATATTAATGTCTTTTTAAGATACGCCCCCTTTTTTTTCTTAATGTTTTGTGGGATTCAAATTATCATTTTAGGGATTGCAAAAATTTTTTGATCAAGTCATGCAAGCCATTATAAACCATGTCAATTTTGAAATTGTAAAGGTCATTATTTTGGCTAGTCCCGGTTTTGTCAAGGTAAACCAAGAACTTTTAATTTCAACCTGAATGAACTGAATGATTCTTATCAATAAAGTTTAATCAATTAATTATTGTTAAAAAGTAGGATCAATGCTTTAATTATATCTTTGCCGAGGCAGTGGTAAGATATATATATACTCTTGCCGGCTAAATTTATTTCTATTACCAAAATTAGTTATGTTGACCAACTTTTCACTACCAAACTTTTGTTGTAGAAACAAGAAAACAGACAACTTATTGAGAATAAATCAAAGTTTGTTCTTATACATTGTTCTTCCGGCCATAAGTATGCTTTGCAAGAAGTATTACAAGACCCTTCTGTACAAAGTCAGCTTTCCGATACGAAATACGCACAAGAAGTTTTAACGCTTGATCGATTTTTCAAGATGTTAAACGATGACCCTGATAGGGCTTTCTATGGATGGAACCACATAAAGAAAGCTGAAGAGAGAGGTGCCATTGGAACTTTGTTGTTATCGGATGAGCTGTTCAGGTAATGTTATAGCTCATTTTCATACGATTTGGGACCTTTTGAATTAAAAAAAAAATGATTATGATTTGTAGGGCAGCAGATATTCCGACTCGTAAGAAATATATTCAACTTGTCGAGTCAGTACGTGGCACTGGTGGTAAAGTGCTGATATTTTCAAGTTTACACGTTTCAGGGGAACGTAAGTAATTTAGTTGATTATTAAACCGTTTTATACAATTTTCATTAATTTATTTTTTTTTTAAAAAAAAAAAATAGAACTCAATCAACTTACTGGAGTTGCAGCAATATTAAACTTTCCTTTACCAGATATTGAGTTGGAGGATGAGGAGGATGAGGAAATCGAACGAGCAGCTGCAATGGAAACAACATAAATTGAGAAATTATATTTATTGAGGAGAAATTTTAAATATCTATTTAACAAGTGATTTCAATAATAACAAAATCATATGAAAAGAAAGGAGAAAATTAATAAGCATTTAACATTACTACCTTTCATTATTGAAAAAGAAAGGAATTTTATTTATTGAAAAAATAAATATATATATATATATATATTTTTAAAGAATAAAACGTGATACTAAGATACGTGTTTTTGAAAAAAGAACTAAATAAACTTTAATTAACTAATCATTGTGGGAAAATCTGATCAACCATGTGTGTCGATCCTTTCATTTAAGGTTATTAGGGTGTCGTTCATTATATTCAATAAGCCTAACCAAAAAAGGGCCGAACAGTTTGTAAAGAATTCACGAGATTAATTAACATCACCATACATGAATTGACGCAATTAGGTAATGAGATGAATTGAAGATAACATTATTTGAATGAAAAAATTCTATAAACTGATGAAATTGCTTAGCATATCACATTCAAAAGACAATTTTAAAGATCATCTCATTCTTTTTTGGGAGTTTGAATCAATCTATTTTTTTAAAAAAAAAACGAATGAACAATATTAACAATATTCCAAAAAAGTACAAACGAGAAAAAGATGCCTGATGATTGGTGTTAAAGTGGCGACGTGGCTATGTGGCTATGTACTACATGATGAACGTTTCAAACCCCTGAATCATCCCGAAAGGTTAACTTTACTTTGTAAAGTTTGCGCAGTACGTGTGTAACTTCCCTCAAAAAAGTTTCAAAATTGTTGAGGTTGACAACTTTTTTCATCATTAATGATGACTAATTAAATTACAATTAACGCGTGATTTTTTTTTTTAAGACATAAATATATGTTGCTTAAAAAAAAAAGCCTTTTTTTTATCCTTTTTCTTTTTTTTTTTTTTTTTTTTTTTTTTTTTCCTTTTCAACTCTCAACTTTTGGTCATTTATATATAAGAATAAATTTTATAAAAAAGAAAACCTTCGACATATATCGGAAAAAAAAAGAAAATAAAAAAAAAAAATATGGCAGAAAATGTTAGAAACATGATTTCTCCCGGTCTTATGATTTTAAATCAACGTCGTCGAAGAAGAAATTATACTAGAATTCGTCAAACCACTCAACGTCAAGGCCTTAGAATCGTGATTGGAAGTTTTCAGAACCGTACGCAAATCAATAACTATAACACCTTGAATCGTATGTCTCAATTAACATATCAAGCTACAGATAATACATTTGCAGATCAATTGTTCAATGGAACTTCGTTCCCTTGAAATGATATTTCTCCAAGTATATAAACATTTTTTTTTTTTTGATTTATACTATATACTGGTTTCTGTTATAAAATTCTTTTTTTTTTTACTTATTTATCTCAGCTCTCTAAGCTAAATTAATGACGCAAGCGAAGTTCGATTCTATTTTTTTTTTTTTTTCGCGTTTTGGGAAACAGTGATCATCATTGTTTGCTTTCAGCCACACACCTCCACACATTCCTCTCTTTTTTTTTTTTTTTTGGGCTCAGTTTCTCAGTTTCCAAATTTGTATTATTATTTTACTTTTTTTTTTATCCAACCTTTATTTATTTTATTTTATTCCTTTTAATTTAATATTTTTTTATAAGAAACTAAATATTTACCTGGTGCGCCGCTAATTGAAAGAGTATGTATAGTATGTCAAGTTTTTACATTCATGAGGATGTGTAATAAAACAAAATATGGACTTTTATAGTTAAGTTGGTTTGACTTTCTTTATAATAGATGGCGACTATAATATTTTATGGTTATTCTATGAGAAGGATATTACAAAATTACAAGGAAAAAATGTTGGTGTTGGGTCATGTATTTTTAAAGAAACATTATTTATTTTTAAACTTTTTTACTGAGAATTATATATGTAACATGGACATTATAAAGATTGATTATATTATTATAGATTTCAATATATAAATTTAAAACTTATTATAATTAAAAAGCAATCGTATATATTGTTATTTCAAAGTGAGATTTTGCGACAATTCAACCAACCTACAAGAAAATATCGTTACACTTTATTCCACAAGAAACTCCCGCATATAATTATCAAGAGATTAAGAATGAAAAGTACGTACATTATTCATCATAATCCTCTATTATTGCGTCTTCCTCCTTGAAAACCTTCTGCAATTTCATAATTAGTGTAAGAATATACCTCATTTCCAAGTTTCCTTCTCATATGAGCTACAATTTTTTCTTGTAACCAAGCTTTGTCCCTTGGAACGTAAGCGTTTATCGTCTGATCATATACAAGTGCTGCGAATTCTCTACATTGACTAATAAATCCTATCAAATCACCAACTTTATAGTGAACTTGTCCGCGAGTTGGATGTGACTCTGCGAGTCGCGTTTCGTACATTGCAATAATGGCTGTCATTGATATTCCGATTTATAAAGTGTTAGGATTTAAAAAAAAAAAGTCGCGTTAAATGTTACTTGTTAAATTAAAAACATTTAACTTTATGCTAAGAAACCTTCTCCCCTTCAAAATGAATAGGGCTTACCGACCTTCAACCGCAAAATTTATGTTCTCATGTTCAGTCCAAGTACGTGGTTTGTTACACCTTTGGAATAAAAGAAGAGTATGCCCGTTCTAAACATAAAATCCCGTTACTTACTGCAAAGAAGAATGATTTTTTCCTTTCACAAGTTTCTCAAATTATATTATAAACATACCATTTTGAAAAAGTGTTTGAAAGAGAAATAAAAAAATGACTGAACAGTAAGAAAGTTTCAATTCTCCCAAACCTTAAAAATAATGGCTGGCGTCAAAAATATTTTGAATCGGAAATGTACCGACATCACATGGCACTATCAATATATCGAATCACTAAATTTAGATAAAAATACATAGTTCCAACGAAAAATTTTTCTATCCCTCTTCTCTCTCTCTCTCTCTATCTATCCATTTCGAAAACCTGAATTATTTGTAATCTTTTTGTTCATCATCGATTTAATTTAAAGAATAAAAGATTTACATTTTCTTATAAAATTTGTTAATTAAAATTCGTCTTTCACTTTTTGAAGACAATGTTGTAGAGAAAGAATTTTGCCATGCTTAATCATTTGAGGTTTATATATGAGTTATTTTCGTTTCAAGGCGCTTCGTATTCTTTGACAATAAGTGCTGACGTATTAGAAATTTAATGCTTTTACATGTAATTATAATTCAAGAATATAAAATAGTTTTTTTCTAAAATTTATTTTCATTTTACAATATGTCTTCATCAACTTCTGCTTCTGCTCCTACTCCTGCTCGATCACTATGCGTTAAGTAGTCAAAAAAGGCTACAGACGTTCTCATACAAGAGCGAAGAGATCGAAATGCTGTAAATATTTTAATATAAATTATTTTAATATATTATATCAATTATTTTTTAATTTGTAAAATTCTTTTAGGATTATCATAAGTCTTAGGAAAATTCCAAGAAGCAATTTTGGGCCGATTTAGCCCAAAGAGTCAATGAAATTGCTAATTGTAATTTTTCTGGCGTTCAATGCTAGAGAAAATTTTCTTCTTTAGTTCTCGAATATGATGTAAGTAAAATGATAAAAATGGTAATAAAAGCAAAAAAATACATTATATATAAATATTTTCTTTTTTTTCTTTTTTATTTAGAACTTAAAGTTGTTGATGTTAAGGGATGCTCTGGGAAAGAAGGGCAAACTTGCCCAAGAATATTATGAAATATTCAATACGCGTTTTTGGGATGCTCCTAGTAAATATAAAGAATTTTATATTTATATTTAAATAAAATTTTTAATTTTTACAATATATTTTTAAAATATTTTATATATATATTTTAGGTGATGAGTACAATATAGAATCTGAAACAAATAAACGGATTCAGAACAATGAGATTCTCAAGGGGTATGATAATATATTTGTTATTAAAGTTTAATTATATTTTTTTTTTTTACTTTGCTAATTTTTTTTCTTTTATAAAAAAGGGAAAGAAGCGAGCAAAAGCTTCTGATAAAAGAAATGGTAAATACATACTTTCTTTAAAAGGGTTGATATTTTGACAAATTTATGCTTAATAATAACTTTATTTTCTTTTTAGTGCAAATTCAGAGTAATTAACTTCAAATTATAAATATAATATTTTTTTAAAGTTTTGATCTTTTTGACAAATTTATATTTAGTAATAATTTTATTTTCTTTTTAATTCAAGTGGAGCCATCAGCTCAAATTGGTAAATACAAATTTAAAAGTTTAATATTTTAATAAATTTATGCTTAATAATAATTATATTTTCTTTTTAATAACAAAAGTTTTAAAAAATTGTAAATACAAATATTCTTTAATAACTTTATATATTTTTAACAATATATTTTGAAAATTTTATGTTTACTAATTATTTTATTCTTTTTTTATCAGAATTTTTTTTATTTTTATATATATTACATTTTTTTTTTTTTTTACATTTTTTTTTGCTTTTTTTTTATCTTTTTTTTTGCTATTTTTTTTTTTCAATCATTTTTTTTAATTATTTTTATTTTTTTTATTCTCAATTACATTTTTTTTTTTTTACTTTTTTGCTATTTTTTTTAAACATTTTTTTTTAAATTAGTTTTTATTTTTTTGTTTTTTTTTTGTCTTAAAAAACAAAACTTTAAACACTTTAAGTTCACATATTTATTTTGAGTAATAAGATCTAATTCATATCAAATATTAGCTAAAAATTCAAATTTTTTTTTAACTATTAAAATATTAATATTTTTATCATTTAACTTGAATATATTAATTTTGTTAAAAAACATATATAGTTAACTCTTTCTATAATAAATTTTAATATAATAATTTTATAATATAACAATTTTTAGTGTAATACAGATTTTATATTAAAAAATCTTGTTATACTGAATTTACTAATTAAAATTATATAATAATATACAAAAAAAATTTTATAAATATATACACTAAACTACATTAAATTACCGGATTTTTTTATATATATTAAAATTATATATAAATTACAATTTTAGTTATCAATTAAATATAATTTTTGTGTAATAAATAATCAACAATAAAAATTATACCAAAATAATTCGCAGGTTTTATATTTATTATAAAATAAAATTTATATTTTAATAGACTAATATTTAGTGTGTCCGCCTTTAGCCTTAATTACCGCATTAACACGATTAGATAAGCTTAAAATTAAGTGATGTACCATCTCTATGCTAATTTTTCTCCATTCCTCTTGAACTATATTTATTAATTCCTGTTTACAGTTAGGTAAAGGCTTTCTTTTTCTAACCTGCCGATCTAAATGATTTCACAGGTTCTCGATCAGGTTAAGATCAGGGCTTTGTGCCACCCAATCTAAGATTGGAATATTATGTGTTTTCATTCACCAAATACTATAATTTGATGTATGACATGAAGCTCCGTCTTGCTGAAAAATAGAGTTAGGATAGTTACTAACCTATGGTATGAAGTGGTTAGCAAGAATATTGATATATGCGTCAGAATCTATACTTCCTTCTACTACAACCAAAGGTCCAACCCAATGCCAACCAAAACAACCCCAAAACATCACTGAACTACCACCAAATTTAACTGTAGGTAAGATACAATTTTTATTATAAGCTTCTCCAGAACTCCTCCAAACTCTTATTCTTCTATTTGATTCAAAAAGAGCAAATCTGAACTCATCAGACCATATTATCTTTTTTCATTCATCACCCCAGTTTCGTTTCTCTCTACTCCATTTTAACCTATCCTTTTGCTGTTTTTGGGTTAAAAGGGGTTTCTTACGAGCAACATAACTACCAAGACCTTCATCATGAAGGTATTTTCTAACAGTATTATTATGCAATGTGGTATCAAGACTAGAGTTTAATCTGCTTGTTATATCACTAAGAGAAGCGAACTGATTATTTTGAACAATACGTTGTAGGATCTGTTTATCACATTAATTAAGTATTTTAGGACGACCAGGACGCTTTTCAGGTATTGCAAAACCTGTTTCTTTGTATCTTTTTATAGTATCATTAACAATGCTAGTAGGAATACCAAGCTGAGTTGAAATAACCGTTTGCTTAATACCACTCAGATATGCACTGATAATTCTTTCACGTTGAGCTTCGAATAGCTCATTTCCACGCATTTCTATTTTAAAGAAGATAAAGAATATGTATGTATTATTTTTTTTATTATTTTTATGTACATTAGAGAGAAATCGCGAATTTATTACGGACGCGATAAATCATGTGATTATAAATCCAGTAATTTAATGTAGGTTAGTGTATATTGTCACTGTGAAATTCTTCAACTCAGGATGGTTACATTATCAAGTCTCTACTCAAAATTTCTAATTGTGACTTACTGCGGTCAAGACGTTAAGATCTGCTTAACTCTTAACTTTACTAAATTTACGCATTAAACTTAAACGAATTTATCAAGTATAAAGACTTGAAAGACAAGATGATAAACAATTTTAATTAAAGAATTCAGATAACAAACTCAATTACAAATAATATGTAGGGATCACATCAGACTATATAAAGACACAAAGAAGCAGAAAGATATAAGTTTTAATTGATTCCTTTATTAATATTAAAACTCGTACTTACAAACTTGTAAAAGAGTTATTTCGATTTGTAAAAGAGTTAATTTATAACATAAGCAAAAGGTTTATCTATTTATACAAAATTTCTTTTATTGCAGCTAACTAATTATTATGCTATAAATTAAATAATTTAGTAAAATAAAATATAAGTAAAATAAATATATTAAACATATGTAAAATAATAAAAATATAAGATAAAATAAAAATAACAATAAAATTTAGAATATTAAAAATACGTATAACGCTAAATATTCTTAGATTCCTTTTAATTAGTAAAATTAGAATTATCATCAGTATATGAAAGATCTTCAGAATTACATAGATCCTCAGTATTTTCAGAATTCAGAATTAAGAGATCATCATACTACATCATCTATGTGACTTTATTATGACCGGCCAATTGCTTCATTAATAATCCTTCCCTACTTGAATTTTGAACGTCATAGTGAGAAATAATTTTATCCTCAAAATCAAGTTCTGGATTTCAATTTTTATGAGACGTTTCATTTATGTGGTCGTCAATGCTTTAAGTTCTAAGCAATTAAGTTACTCCAATTTCTGAAAATAAAATAAACGTCTTATTTGATACTTTGTACTGGTATTTACTTAATACTAATTTTACTCATTTATAATCTATATCTTCTAATGAGTCTAAGAGTTCTCCAATGAAATACATATTCATTAACATTTCAAGTTTATTCTTCAAATTCTTGCAACGTCAAAGTTATTGTTGCAATTTTTGAGCTTTAGTTCAAGGGTTATCCATTCTATGATAAGGTTTATTTCACTCAGATACAAGGGTAGGTTTTAATTGAATGAGATCATTAAAAAGGTTTTCTATTATCTACTGAAATTTTAGAAATTTAAGGTCTATTTATATTCATTGAAAATTATTGCTTATGTAATCACCACTATTGGTTCTCATGATTGCCAATCATGATATAATTTTAGTAGATTACCATTTACTATTTTAGTTAAAAGGCGTCCATCTATTTCCTTTTGACAATAAGATCCATTTATCAAAATTTCATAAATTCGATAAGGTTCTTTCCATTTAGGTTCTAGTTTGCCAGAGAATTGATTAATTCGTACAGCATCATAGTACAAAACTTTTTGTCTTATATCAAATGATGTGAACTTAGCCAAATATTTGTCATATGATATTTTTTGTTTATTCTTTATGGCGATCATTGTTTGTTTTGCTTTTTCTCTAATGTCAGGTAATTTTTTTATGATTTGTCAAATTCTATCAATCAAATTTTTATTTTCTTGGTTAACATGATCATCAAGAGGTAGTTTTACTTCTCTTCTATACATTAATAGAAAAGGTATCATTTTGATAGTTAATTGTTAGGCTGTTTGATACGCAAATAACACAGGAGCTATGTGCAAGTTCTATTTAGTCTGTTCTTCTATAATTTTTGCTAGGGATTCTTTTAAGATTTTATTAAACTTTTCTACTTGTCCATTTGTTTATGGGTGATAAGACGTAGAGTTATAATGCTTGATTCTAAATTTATTCATCAGTTCCTTTATCATAGCATTGTTAAAATGAGTACCTTGATCTGATAAAATCTTTATAGGACATTCATGTTTACAAATAATGTCTTTATAGATAAAGAGAGCAACTTAACTAGCAGTAGCTTTAGTAACAACTCTTGCTTCTGACTATTTTATGAACATATTAATAGCTATGATAATATATTGATTTTCTTGAGAAGTTATAGATAAAAGGCCAATAAAGTCAATTTCTATTTGATAAAAGGGGCTATGAGATAGTATGGGATGTAGTTCGTTATTTTTACTTGATCTTCCTTTTTGTTGACAAGAGTCACAGGTTTTGACATATTCCTTGATATCTTCATACATTTGTGACCAATAATATTGTATCCTAATTTTATTGAACATTATTTTTCGTCCAAGATGTCCTGCTGTTAAATCATTATGCATCATATAGAGGATGGTTCTAATTCATATCGTTTAAGAACTTGTAGCAATTGTCTAGGTTTTCTTCTGTTAAAATGATACAATTTTGAATTTTGAATAGTAAAAAATTTATCTATATTTGTAAATCTTTTCTTTTTCTTATTAGTTTGAATATGATCAGGATATTTATTATGAGTTAGATATTGTTGAATATCAAAATATTGTTGTATGTCTATGTTGAATAATTGAGCTGTAAGTCATACTGCTTATACTTACGCTTTTACTCAATTATAATAATAATATACAAAACTTTCACTTGCTAGATGCTATTCAACTAGGTATTATCTCTTTAATAAAATATAAATAGAATATGAAGTAATAATTTAAAAATAAAATACAATATAATAGAATATAATTAAAAATCTAAATCAGGGGTTGTAGTTTGACTAAAATAGGGGTGATAAGGGTTCATAATTATCAAATAGTTTGTCCAATTCTTCTTGTGTCTATTCATTCTCATTTTGAAAATATTATGCCTTTTGATAAGTTTTGTTTTGTCATTGCATTATTTCTGGTATTTCTTAAAATACTTCGTTAACTAGGGCTTCAGGTTTCATTTCAGAATGAATTTGTCCTAATTTATATCCAATAATATAATTATGTTCTAATTCAGTTATAATGATCTTTTCACAAAGA